TGACTGTGCTTTCTGGAGTGTGCAGTCCTTTTGAGTTAGTTTCCTCCAGGTGTGTCACTTAGCAATGTTTAATTAGCTCAAGTTTTCTATCTTTATACAGGTTTAACAGAAAAACACCTAAAATGGCAAAGTCCAGGGAAACATAAATGTCTTAGTAGATTAGGATACAGCTTATTACAAAGGTCAGAGACCACTGAACTCCTAAGCTGAATGAGACAGAGTCATAGCTTCTCTAATTCACATTTCTCTCATGAACCTGTGCTGGCTGTGGCCGATGACTGTGTTGTCCTCCAGGTGTTTTCCAGTACCTCACAGAATAATGTTTTCCATGATTTTACAGGGTACTAAAGTGAGACAGACCTGTAGTTTCCAGGGCCTTCCTTCTTGACCTTGAAAATCAGGACAACATTCACCAGCTTCTAGTCATCTTGGAGCTCTCTGGATTCCCCAGACTGCTCAGATATCATTAAGAGAGCCTTTGCAATGACATCAGGTAGCTCTTTGAGGTTTCTGGGATGAATCTCATCAGGATTCATCAGAAGTCAATAGGCCAAAGTGGGAAATACACTTTTGGAAATGGTAGAATGGGAATTTGCAAAGAGAAGTGACTACTCTTTATATGCTTAAGGTTACTGTAACTATTCTGTGATTGACTGTCAGTCTGAGATTTAGGTAATTTGCAACAAATTATCTCCTACTTAACTACTAAGAATTCTTGTGGCAAGAAAACCCCTGTGTGCTGGTGCTGCTGTGACATCTAAAATACATTTATGAACAGAAGAAAGTGAGAATTCTTGGTGTGCATGTACTCTTTCCTTTAGGCACCGTTAGTTGATTCGGGCCATCTTTCTATGACACCATAAGTCAAGCATGCTGAATTCATTTTAAATGCCTCAGGTTAAATGTGACTGGCTGCTACAAGTCCAGAAGCAGAAACAGGGGAGCCAAGTTTTGCTGGCCTGCTGCTGAACTTTTGTCCTTTCAGTTCTTGGAATCTTCTGTTTGCTGAAGTCCGTGTTCTGGGGAGGTAGGAAACAACTGTGATCAGGCTGGCATTGAAATACAGATGTATTGTGTTTCTAAAGTTTTGGTCTAATTAAAGGGAGCTTTTACTAATGAATAAGAATATAGTTATTGTGAGTGCCTCAGTTACACTTGTTGTGGATGAGATTTGTACCACTTAAAGGACCACTGCCAAAGGTAGCAGAAAGAGTGATTTTATTGACATAAAATGTTGTAAAAGCAAGGCTTAAGAAGATGCCATGGCAGTGTTTAATCTTAATGTACAGATACAATAATAGTAATAATTCAAAAGTATCAATACATGATCTTAACGCCTTATGATACAAGGTTATGCCCGATATCAGTCACTTACCAAAGATCTGCAGTTGGCAAAGAGTCTTTCAGCCTCAAAGAGTAACTAGGGTAGTAGTTACTCCCCTCTAGTCAACTCCCCCCAGTCAAGGGGAGATTACTGCCATGCAGCTGGCTGCTTAGCAGGAAGAGATGAAAAAAGGCTCATTTGAGCTGTCATATTTGTGGAATGAAGTGGGTGGCTCATAGTCAAATTACATGGGATGGAAAAGGTAGGCATGAAATTCCTTGTACCCACAAGTTCATTTGTTCCTTACTAATTGTTCTTGGAAGAACTGCCTGCTATTCATGTATTACTACCATGGCTGGGTTCCGGTTTCCCAGCTCATGCATCAGAGCTTTCCACCTTGTCAGCCTGTTCCTGTGAGGGTTTTCAAAGAACAGGTTGGAACTAGGCGAGGGATGAGTTCTTGACCTGGTCATGGCCTAGGCCTGTTACTTCCTTGTGAGCCTGGGCCAAACTGTCAATAATTTGATCAAGGAGTCGAGTGCATCTGTCACATCCACCCTGTGACTACAGTCAGTGCACTTTATTGACTCACTGGTAGTACAGTTACCTCTTGCCTCTGTCATAAATATGTGGCGTGTTGCACATAAGTGGTTAAGGTTACAGTTATTTGATGAGTTGCTTATCTTAAGCATTATAATTATTGCTAATTATATACCACAGCACATACACAATCAGTTGATTGCATGTTTATGTGTCAACACATAGCAACAGCTAAGCTTGTGTTTGCATTATATGTAAAGTTTACCAAGAGCTGCCAGGCATGCAGGTGTCATTTGGTGTCAGTGGCATTATTCTGGGCAACTTTTAAGAGTTTCAGGAGGTGGGATTCTCTGTCACCTTCTCTTAAAATTCCAGATACTGCAGCTCATGCCCTTGGCTGCTTGAAGGCAGCTCAGAGCTGAGGAAATGTTCCCTTGGGTTATCCCAAAAGATTTAGTAATAACATGCAATCGCTGTGTTTTGGGCATTGCCATAAAAGTGTAGTGGTTTTGGTCAACCACTGTCCTAGTCCCAACTTAAGTAATGATACCTGTAAGGGAAAGCGAAGATTTTGCAGTGGGGTAGTCACTGTGTAAGTTAGAGGCTTGGGCTAAAATTTCCTCACTTTCATCTGCTACTCTTGCACTGCAGTTGACTTAACTCATAGGTGTCAATGTTTGCCACCACTGTCTGTCTGATCACAGCAGTGACATCTGCTTTGGCGTTCTGTTATGGCCTTGGCCACGGGACAAGAAGAATAGGAATGAATCTGGCTGACAGCTGAAGACTATGCCCATTCATGTACTGTGTTTCTTCACAAAGAATTCAGCAGCAAATTTTCACAATATGGATGTGAAGGATTGTGCTTCCAGTGGTGCACCCTGCAAAAGCAGCCCAGGAGTTGATGTATACCTGGTCATCAGAGGATGACTATGCAAAAGGCCAGGAGTTCAGCCATCTGGGCACTGTAATGGGCAGTGGGGTGTAACAGCTTGGTCATCTGCAGTATGAACAGCAGTGGCATGCCCAAACCAGGCATTATGGCGATGGATTGTGGAGACTCCTGTAAACCACACATCCTTCAGTGGGGCGCTGCAGGGAGAGGCTTCTGGAATAAGTGGGTCTTACCACCCTTTGCTGCCAAAAGAGATTGCCCCTGCTCCTTCCCTGCTCTACCCCAAAAAAGGGTAGAATCCTTGTGACCTGCTTCCTGGAACGGTCACCACAAAGCAGCTTTCACTCTGCTGGACCTTGTCCACAAGTAGGAGTGAGGGGTCCCAAGTACTGATATTGTTGAATACTTTTAGGAGAAGGGTTGGATGTGTTGGTGACTGACATATTCCAATCCCAGGTGGAATGTGTGCACAGCAAGGAACAGAGAGGGTGGCCATCTGACTAAAACCCAGGCCTTATCATGGCAATTAAAGAGCCTAGGAGACTTGATAGTTGCATTTAGAGGAGGGAGTAGGTTGGGTAAAGGAAACAGACTGCCAGACACTTTCAGAAATACCTTTGGTACTGGCATGTAAGAAGACTCCTTTAAAAATAACCCAAACACCTTACTTCTGGGCAGGACCCTGGCATTTACCAGGAAGAATATAAAGTTCCTGATGTTCTTTGAGGGCTGAAATTTGGGATCATATCTTGTGCAAGATTCCCATCTCTCTCTGCTGGGAAAGTCTTCAATATGCTGTGGTGAGAGACATCAGGAGTGGGAGGAGGTCAGGTTGTGTTGCTGTGGCACCAGGGGAGGAATGTGAAGTGGTGTAGAAGCTGTGTGGTCTCATTCTTTGGCTTGATACCAGGAAGTGTTTTGTACAACTGCTACCAAGTGTACCTCCTACCAAGAAATACTCCATACAATGTGACTACAAAGAACAGACGGTTCGACCACAGTCCCACCGACAGCACTTTGCACAATAATGGTTGATAAGGTATAAAAGGATCCTGACTTTTTACCTGACTGGGAGATGAGAATTCAACACCAGAATTGTAGGGACAAGTTGATGGGTTTGTCTTCCTTGTCCTCCCTTTTAGGAGATCTTCTCCACCGTGGAGGTCTAAATTTACAAGCCAGTGCTGAGCCCATGGTGGTGGTAACCCCTCTTCTGTGCTTCTGGTGATTTCTGTTGGCTTTTCCTACTTTTATGTTTTCCTTCTTCTTCCTCTTCTCTCTTTAGAAAATAAAGTTGACTTATCATTTTGGAATCCAGCATCTGGCCTCGTTTGTGTCAATCTCGCTTTCAGGTATATTCAAACTTAATTCCTTTCCACAAGGGAAACTTTACCTCTCCATACCTAAGCAGATTTGAACAGGTGTATTATTCCTTCTTCCCTGGATTGAGCACCTATAACAGTTGGACTTGCTGATCTTTATATAGGTGGCCCGAATTCCCCTCAAATCTTTATGTGGTGTCTCCACAGAGAGATTTAGGGACATTAAATAAGATACAGGCCAGAGACATGCCTAAAACTACCTGATGGAGAAGTCTTTGGGTTGGCATTTTAGTCAGGTAGATTTGTTAAAGAGCTGTGGTGTTACTTCTACATTCAGTGGGGCTGTCTTCATTCCTTTTTGTGTGCTGTCCACCAGAAATTGACAGTTCATTGTGTAGTCATGGCTGATGATTTCTGAGGCTTGTGGTTAAGGTGAGAAGGTAGCAGCTGAACGAGTGAAGCAGGCATGTGTGAGTAGTCTTCTTGTTCTCTTTCCGAGTCTTCAGTGCTGACACTGAACTTCTCAAATGTTCTTCCTAAGACAAGAGCTCTCTGCCAAATATCTTTTTGAAGAAGTGTGTTTCATTGTATTAAAGCTTTACAAGAATTTTTAAGGTTGTGATGAGAATTGCAAACCTAATTTTCATAATCCAACCAATAATGATGATCGACGAACTAAGGTTATAGTCATTTTTATTGTGTTGATAGTGACAGTAATTGGATTTTACTATTGGTGAAGTTGTGTCTTGCATGAAATCAAAGTTCCTCATCTAGCAAGGATTTTGCAGTTGCTACTTGTGGTCATCTTAGTCTTGTTTACTCTGTGAGTCATGTTTCTAAAGAATGTAAATGTCTTAAATTTCTTCAACAGTTGTCTAATTCAAGGACATGATTGTTTTATTCTCTGATGATTTTTCAGGAAATACCCAGTGTAACAGTAGCAGTCTGAAATCTTTATGCTGGATGCAAAAGCCTCTTGTCTCATTTAAGATTCCTGTATCACTGTAAGTATTGCCTTAACACTGCTGTTGATGCTTTTCGCTGATTTCATATGCAACCTTGGTTTGCAGTTTTCTTTTGTTATTGGTATCCTATGAGAGCAGAGGAGGTAAAAGGAAGGGTGATGAAAAATAGACCTGTCTTTGAATCTTGAAAATAACACTTGGAAAATTGTAACACTGAGTCTTATTTTTTATAGGCTAGATATGAGTGCAACTTCTGATTCCCGAGCTTGAAATCAGAAGAGTCTTAAAATCTAAAAGAGGCCGTGAAGGAAAGTAAGGAGCCTTGGGTGATCTGGGAAAGGTGGCATGAAACATTTTGTTGAGAACTGTCTAATACCCTGCACAAAGTGAGGTGTTAATTATGTCCTAGCTGGATTTGACCATACTGAGAGAAACTTGTTGAGATGCAGGCTCCATTCATAGGTTGTCCTTTTGAAGACTGAAATAGGGCTTGGCTTTGAAGATACTCACTCTAACAACTCTACAGAGTAACATGCTCACGCGGCTGGGCCTGTTGGTAATACATGTATGTTCTGGGATGTAACACATGGAGAATTAGAGATACGTGACTTTGTGTTTTGCTGGGGAATGAGGGTCAGCACAACACACACGGACACCAACTCTGAGGAGCAAGTGTGGAAGTTTACTATAGTGCAAAACAGCAAAGAATTACAAAAGGATAAGGCCAGTAATGCACCTAATCATTATTGCAAAGAGTACCTATAGTGATTAATAAAGATACATCACCAGTTACCCTAATAGGTTACCACCACCCAGACCTGCCCATGAGCTGGGGAGCCCTGGTCACAGCAAGGGATTGAAGAACCATTCCCAGTAACTGGGAAATCCCATGCAGTGCATCCACTGGTGGGTGAGGTCTCCATCTTCGCTGTAAGAATGTTCAGCTTTTATATTGTTAAATAAACAAGCTTACATAACTACTACTGTGGAAAAACATCTGTTTTCCTTCTCCTCGTGGGTTCCTCCCAGAGCCTGGCCCAGGGCTCAAGGGGAAAACCAAGGAAGTCAGCCTTGAACATCTACTGCCAAACAAGGCCAGACATCTACTTCCATGGCCTTGACCAGTCTCTAAATACAGAAAGAGAAATGTCATATTTTGCTAACAATCATATGTATTTCATTAATGAACAGATACAAATACTATTTACTAATGAGCGGATACTAATATATCCTACTGATAAGGACACATATTTTGTTAATGAGCAGATACACAGGTGTAGTCTTATCATACTACATGTTTCACTAACAGTTAGGCATATTTGTTTTAGCCAAGGAGTGGATACACAGATAAGTAAGATAAGTATAATGTTGAGTTGGAAGGTTCATCTAGAGGTCAGCTTTGGCTCAGGGCCTGTTCTTCAGGCCTCAGTACTTCACTTTGTAACCTCCTGAAGGTGTATGTACTGCAACAGTAGACGGGATGATGTGATCTCTGTGCTTCCGTGCCTCCTCCCAGCTGTGTAACTTAATGCTACAGCGTTAGAATTATGAGAGCTTTCCTTACAGCTCACCAGAGGTAGAGTTGTATTCCACAAAATTAAAATAAAACTAGTGGACCACATTATTGTGAGAAATTTTTACTAAACCCAAATTCTTGTTGTTGTTGTTGTTGTATTTGAAGGTATAACTGAAATCAGGTCTTCTTGTCTGAAAACTCTGGCCTCTATTTTATGCTGCTGTTGCTTCTCACGCTCAGCTCTTAAGCATTGCTCATTGTGCCATGTTGTACAAATATCTGGGAGGCTTTTTCCATTGTCTTTGGATGAGAAGGTAAATACAGCCATCTATTGTTAAATTAAAAAGTTGAATGATAATAGAATTAGCAGAATAATTGTGAGGTTTTTTTAGTCATTAGACAGTCAATAGAATTGTTAGTTGCTGCTCTTTTTGTATCTTGACAGCATTCTGGTAAATAATTTATGCAACTCGGACACCAAGAGCATTGATGTCCATGGGATGTGCCAGTGGGGTTGCTCTCATACCTAGCAATTTAAGTTCAGCAGTTCTGTTCATAATGCGTTCTGAATCACTTCTTAGTAAGCGAAATAGGTTTTGATCAAAAGATTAGGATTGTAATATTTTTAAACTTTTTTTTTTTAGTGTTTTGGTTTTACCAGAAGAAAAAGAAACCAAGAGAAGATGGACTGGAATGTAGGACCAGTCCAGAATGCTAATGCAAATATGAACCTCCAAAGTGAAGGAGCGTGTCGCACTCAGTTGCTTTCTAATGGACATGCCTTTCCTCAGGCAAATGCCAGCTCCTCTAAAAATGCGTGCACTTATGCTGAAAATAATCAAATCATGTATCTGCCAACTATCAATGTTACCTTCCCTCTTGTGAATGCTGAAGGATTCAAAACTTCTGATCAGACGTTACCAGGAGCATCTGTAACTGGTAATAATTTTTTTATGTCAAAATACTCAGTTAAACAGCATCCACAGATGTACGTAACAGCTCAGAAACCTCCCATTCAGCAGCCACCTTCTCAGGCAGAGATTACTCAGACTTCTTGGCCAGTCTCTAATCCCTACAATTATCCCTGTAGAAATGTACCTCCCCTGTCTTCTCCAATGACTGCTGGAAATAACGTGAGGAGTGTACATCAGGGGCCTCAGTATGCCGCTACAAACACTTACACTGCGCAGCCACAAATACTGCAGCAAAATTCTATGAGACTTGCAGCATTATATCAAAGTAGCCCTCATTCCCAGAATAATTCTGTGTCTTTTGGTACACCTGGGCAACAAGTCCAAAACCAAATATTTCAGTCCAGTGCTCAGTGCAAAGGTTCATACCCAGTGAATCAAAATACTGAAACAAATGTACAGCTCCCACAATTTCAGCCAAGTCAGATGGAATCACAAGCTCCTAGAGGATGTTCTGCGCCATCTTTGTTGCCTGCCAACTGTGTTTCAAGAGCTACTCCACAATCTTCAATAGGTGTACCACAGGAAGTACAAAACATGCCTAATGGATACACCCTTAGCCAACAGAGGAGCCCACTGGATCAAAAAAATTCTTCTGGTTTTAACAGCATTCAGCCACAATTTCAGAAGCAGCAATCTGGAGAAGTCAGTCAATCAGTTAGGAGTTTCTGTAATTCAAGTGGAAGTGTGACAGCAAATGGGTCTTTTAGTGAAATGACTGTGCCATCCCCTGGCATTCCCGAAGACCCGTTTGATATTATAAAAGAAATAGAAGCTCTTTCTTCAAAGCCACCAAGTGATCCTCCTTCAGTTCAAGAAAGCCAGACCAGTAGCTTAATGAATGGGCCTGTTAATTCTCAACTTTATTCAGCAACAGTAGATGAAAGAAAAATTGTAAAGGACAGACTAGCTTGGGAAGCTGAGAGACTGTACAGTATTAAAAAAAAATGTGCCCTGCTTGAAAGGTATTTTAAAAGAAAAGTCTTAGCAGCTTCAAAGTATGACAAAAGCATTCTCCCTCCTCCTCCCAGTTATCACTGTACTGCTGCTAATTGTCTTCCATGGGTGCCCAAACAAAATATACCACCTTCCTCAACTCAAACAGTGATGACAGAGATTTCACATGAAGAAAGAAAGGACAAAAATCCAGCCAATGCTGATAACAGAAGGTTAGAGGGGACTCAAAATAACCCCCAGGTGGCACAGGGAAGCCTTCCATCAAACTTAGCTCCTGTTCCCTCTCAAAGCAAACTCGCAGCTCAATTAAATAATCCTGAGAGCGCTCCCACCTTGGAACAACAGGGTGTGCACGCCTTGGCCTCCTCTCAAGAAACTGCGGTTTCCTCGAACAGTGCTTCATGTTTTAGTCAAGCAGGTAGCTCTACCAAAATTGCTTCAAAGAGTGTGCAAATTAGCCCCGAGAACTCGTCGTTTTTTCAGTTTGTATTAAGCAGCACAAATGTATTGAAAGAGAAGACAGCTGGCGCTACTGCTGATAAAATACTGACCAGTCTCCTGTGTAATGAAAAACAAACGCTAGATACATCTGTCTCAGGTGAAAGCTTGCAAAAAGACACCAGTGAGAGGAATGTAGAAAGATCGAAAGGTGAGCAGGCATCTGTGGTTCACACAAACTCTCCTGTGTCGCAAACAACTAAATCTGATGAAGCTAAGTTGCAGAATGAGGTAGCTCAGAAAAAAATGCCGTTTACTGAAAATACATCCTGTAAACAGATCAATTGTACTTACTCTATGGAAGAGCTAACTGCATGCCTGAGCTTGTGGCGGAAGCATTCATCAGAATCTGTAAATTTGCAAAATAAACAGTCAAGTGAAAGCCCCACGGCAAATCAGATTTCGCCCTCCAGCCAAAACACAAAAAAGAGAGAACAAAATAATGTTCTGGTTAGTATGGATGAAGCAGTTTTGCCCGTAACAACTACCTCTGTAGGACAAAAACTTGATACACTGACTTCCAGTTTGATAAAAAATGTTGAACCTCAGGTTGCAGTTGTCTCTCCTTTAGTACTTTCTGAACAGAGAACACAGAATGAGCAAGCAGACAAAATCCCAACAGCTGAAGATAAAACCTATCCAGTGATTGATTTGGAGAGCTCTTGTAGCTTGCAAGAAGTTGGGGAAAATGGTTTAAATGTGGCAAATACTGACAAAGGAGCAGTAGAAAATGCTTGGTCATCACCCAGTGATTGTGTTCTGGAACAGAAAGTGGACTCCCATTTACAACAGATCAAATTAGGTGATGAAAACAGAAGAGTAAAAACCAGTGTAAATGGAAATGATTCATATAATGAAAACCAAAGGAAGGTTAACCAATCTGCACAAGATTCCAGAGAAAATCTGCAGCTTGGATTACAAAACAAGATTTCTCTTCCTGAACTGGGCATAAATTTTTCTAGTCAAATCTTCCAAGAAGGTGTAAGAGATCATAAAGACAAGCAAACTGTGTTAGAGGCAGGAGATACATCCACAGCTGTGTTGGAAGATCAAATGTTTTGTATTTCTAGTGTATGTTCTCTTGTAGAAGGTGATAAATTTTATAATCCACAAATAGCAGGCATCTTCAGGTCAGCGTATGAGACACATGCATCCGAAGGAAATGGATCGGATGCAAGGGAAAAGGAACAACATCTGGACTTGCATAAAAAAAGGCTGACCAGTAACACTCCCCAGAAAGAGAGCTTGCTGCTAAAGATGTTGGAAGAGCCATCAAACTGCACGAGTAAAGTAGATAAGATTTTGCATGGTAGCACAATGAGTCATTTGGGGAAAGAAAGCAGTGGCAATCCTCTTAAGGTAGTTTCTACCTCAGAACAAAACATGTCATACGAGGCATCTTTCAAGCATCCTGAAAATTGCTTAGAAAATCTTGCCAATATAAACCAGAAGTTAGCTCAAAATTCCCTAGATTCCTCTATCAGCATAACTGCTGGAACAAAGGCATCCACTGTTCCAGGAGGCAACAGTAAACAAAATTTCATGCCCACTAAAAATAGCACAGAAGAGATAAACTCTTTTGGAGGAAAACCTTGTAAATACCTAAGCAATCAGCTGGCTAAACTAGTGAAAGAGTTTCCATATGGCATTGAAAGTGCTGATATGCTAAGAAAAGAACCAGCACAAAGTCATTCTGGGGCTGAAGGGATAGAGAATCAACCTCAAAAAAAGATTAAAATATGTGACAAGAATTCTAATTTGAAGGACCCAGTAAATCAGATAAAAATTGCAGTGTTAAGCTCTGATCAGGTTCAAGAACTTTTTCCTGAACACAAACAGTGCCCCTCTAGTGACAACAAGAGAGCAGTGAGTCAACAGTCAGAAAAAGCTTCAGCTGAGGAGAACCCTGAAGGCAGTGTTCAGCCTACTCAGAGTCTGTGTGAGAAAGAAAAAAAAACTCAAGAAAATTCCAACCCCAGTGAAAAAAACGAAGATTGTTCATTAACGGGTTGTGTATCTGTAGGATGTAAAATGCCACATTGTCCCGGTAAATCAGGAACATCTGGCTCAGAGAAAAATGATTGTCAACTTTCAGAAGCTGAAAATAGCAGCTCTGCAGAGAGACAAGAAAACAACAGTAAATCTGATGCCCTAACAAAGAAAAACTGTGCAGTTGGAACCCAGACAATTTCTGAAGAAATCTCAAACAGTATTAGCGAAAATAAAGAAGATATTTGCAAATACACCTCTGCAATGAACACAAAACCTGGGCTGAACATGAATGATGAACATATACTGCCCACAATAAAACAGGAAAATACTGAACCAGATAATTGTTTTGAAAACCAAGATGCTGATAAATACAAAAGCAGCAGCTGTAAAGAAGAGCTGCAAACTGACAAAGGAACCCCACTGCCAAGCAAAGAATGTCATTCTGACAAAAAAGAACATCAGACAGTCTCAGAAGAAGTGCTGGAGAAAACTAGTCACACACATGCAGACAACATGACAAAGTCATCTGGAAAGAAAGAGAGAGTTTTCAAAACTGAGTTATTTTCAAAAGATAAACCAGGTTTGACCATGAAATCCAGAACTCACATTCACAAATTTAATAAGTCAGAAACTGTAGAAATTAAGCACTCTGAAGTCAATCAAGGGGAAAATATTAAAAGTTGTGAAGAGAACTCAGCTGAAAGACAGAACTGTAGTAAAGAAAAGGAGATGCTTGGGCAAGATGTAGGAATTAATGTCAAAGAGAAAGGTAAGCTACCAGCAGAAATAAAACATAAAAAGCTGAATAGTTACCGAGCTGATGCTGTAAAGTTCTCAAATTTTGGCGCTGTAGACTTTAAGTCAAAAACCTCGAAATACTCTCCACATAAGTCTGTGAAAGTTCATCCTTCGCAGGAGCAGGCGTACAAACGGAAGATGAAGGAAAACCTGATGGGGAAGAGAGAACTTAAGAAAGCAAAGGTGGAAGAGGAAAGACTGAAACAATCTGAAGCAAAGAATTTTAAGCAGGTTGCACATAATTGCGTGATAAATTCTGACAGAGCTAAAAAATTGAATGGAGAAAGTGTCTGGAAACCAAAGAGTTCCTTAGCAGATCACTCTGTGCTTAAACTACAGAGAAAAAGGGCTCTATCTTCTACCATGTCTAAAAACTACTTTTCTAACAAAGAAAGACGTCTCGATGGTCAAAACAAAGACAAGTGCTCTGAGAAAATGTTTCCTGATAAAAACCTGCTATACATAAACAGAAGAAATAACAGACTGAAGTTGCATCTTCAGAAGGAGCCAAAAAAACACTACCTGAACAGGGTTGCGTTTAAACGTACAGCACAGGAACGCATCTATCTGACAAAATTAGAGACATCACCTGTCAGACCCGTCTGGCATAGAAAAAGCAAAGTGTCACAAAACAGTGATTCGAAAAAAGATGCGTCTGCCCCAGCAGTCGAGAAGCCATGCAAGCAGGAAGTACTTGAATTTAAGCTGTGTCCAGAGATACTGTTCAGAAATCCAACCACTGGTGAAGAAAGCTTAGCTGTGAAGAATTCCCTGGAAAGAGATAAAGTCGTCGTAGCAGGTATGACGCTGTCTTGGTTATTAATTTGTAAGTAAGAAGTACGTGCTCCTTTTTAAGTTCACGTTGTCTGAAACCACAGACAGGGGAAACGTGAGACTTTCAGAAGCTGAAGGCTGAGATATCACAGCTAGTTTTCTGACAGACCATAGCCGTGTGTTAAACTGAAAAAGAACATGAGACTTTTCCTTCAATTTTCTCTTGAGTCTTGCAGAATGAAGTTAGAGTAGCTTCAAGTTGCCTTTCTAACCTACTTGTAGAAGACAGCTTGGATTGTTTGTAGAAAGTAGATTCTCTTGGCGTAGTTACCAAAGGTGATCTGATCTGTGTTCGGTGTTCACCTGGATGTAGATAAGTCTGGCTGGGCAGACAATGGAAGGAGAGATCTTTTGTGCCACTGAGGAAGAGAGAGAGGTTGGGTCTGACATTTCCTGCACTAAGTCCCCATTACCTTTACCATCCTTGCTCTAAGCTGCCTTTTTCCCTCCTCTTCTTCCCTGTCCCAAATCTCAACATCTTACATGGGGCATTGTGAAGCATATTTGTGTCAAATTCTGTATTTGATTTTTAAATAAAACCAAATCTTAAGTTGCACATAGCAGCCCTTGCAGTCATTTTCACACCCAAAGGGAATTTCCTAGCATGTGCTAGTATATGTGTGAAAACTTGATGCTGAATAGAGATCAAAACTTGTGATATAAGAACCTCAAAAATATATTTTTTAAAAATTTTATTTTTTAGGTGTCAAGAGTAAAAAAGAAGATTGGTTAAAATGTGAACCACTGAAGCAAAAGAAATTGGAAGAGATCTCTAAAGGTGAAATGCCATCTGAGTATCCAGTTTGAAATATAAGTTAAATACTCTTTGCTTGGTTTTAAGTGTTCCTTTACAGTAGCAAACCTTAATAAAGCATTTCAACTTATTCTTTACTAGTTCTGCTGATTAAATGGTTACTGTAGAGTAGACATAAATTTCAAAGACCTGTGGAGCTTTTTACTGCCTTACAAATATACTGTTGGAGATCATTGAAATTTTCCTGCATACCTGTGTGCAGTTGACTTGGGTGTAGCACTGGTAACAACATTCAAGTACAGTTTTAAATTGTAGGTAAATACCAAGCTAGCTCTTTCACACTTTAAAATGTAGGAAGTGATGTAGCAAAATCCCGTGTGAGACTTTAAAAACAGAAAGTGATTTTTTAATTTTTTAATCTAACTTTCCCAGTATGTTGCTGCTGTCCATGCATATACCTGTGCTCTCAAGTTCCGTGACCTGTGTCCCAGTAGTCTGGTCAAGGTTACTTGTATGACTCATAAAGGAAAAGTGGGGCCACTACTACTTCTTCCTTGTTTTACTTGATTGGCAAATTGCTTTTTGGATGGTCTTTTATACTCTGTAGGAGTCAACTGTTACAATAACTGCATATTTCATCTTGGGATCTTGCTTGTTCCATCCTTTGTGAATCTTGGGTGAGGCTGCTCGCAACTGTCTTTGCTTCTTTGCTTTAAGTGTCTTCCTAGCTATAGTCTTGTTTTTCCACTCATCTGAAAGGAAACAAAGTGGTGCATGCAGCATGCTGTGTAGCCGTGTTGCCATCCGCTTCCTAACTTGTCAGCAGAGGACTTGCATGCTCATATCTGTGTTGTGGTGTTGATGCAAGCAACGTGTTCTGCAACATTTGTATCTTTTAATGCTGTTGCCTGTGTCCTTGGCTATTGGTCTCTGCCATCCTTTTAGCCCTTCCTCTTGCTTCATCTCTTAAGTTTCACAAATGCACGTTTTGTGTCACACCTTTCTTAATATTCTTCGGAAATCTCGGGTGCGACGACACCCAGATGGCCTTTTAGTGCTTAAAGATACACTGGAGATTGATTTAAATCTGAGGTGCCTGCTGCTTTAGGAAGGAAGTTTGTGGAGTCCTTTTTGACACACTGGAGGGCCTTAGATATCATCTGCATAAGGAGTAGAGTCCTTTGACGCTCAGACTCTTGCTTTAACCTGCTTGTCTGTCTTGCAGCTGAGGACAGTATTCCCCTTGATACAGCTTTACAGATCCTGGATGGAGATGGAGAGACTCTTCACATTCCAAGCAAGGACTCAAAAGAGATGTTTCAGACCTACAGGAAAATGTATCTGGAAAAAAAAATGCAAAAGCCTTGATAGCACTCCTGTATCAGAGGTCTTATTCAATATCATTGAGAAAAAAATGCCAACACTAAAATGCTTTTTTTCAGTTTACTTCATATTTCTGAATAATTGTAAAAAACCACAGTTTTTTTGGTAGGTGTTAGAATCTCCCCCCCTATTTTCCTCATATTTGTAAATAATTGACATCTTCTTCTGTATTTATTACACAAATATGCTTTGGTGCTGCAAATGCTGTTGTTAAATGTACTGTTTCTTTAGGCATGTTTGAATTTTTTTTTACTCTTTTTTTTTTTAAGATAGAGGAGTTTTTTGACTCTTGGCCAGAAAAAAAGATCAAACTCATTTAAATTGTCATAGCCTCTTTTCTGATTCTCAAAAACTTTACTTGTGGCATTTTCCATTACTTTTCCATTACTGGCAGTGGAAGAATATTTCTACCGGAAAGGGATTGCAGTGGATTTCCAAGCCTTACACTTTTATTTTCCACTTACGCTAGTCTAATTGTTTTGCTTTTAAAAGGCTTTTGCTTTTGTAGAAACTTTTTTAAACTGGGAATAGAACTTTAAAGCCCTCAAATCAAGCATACAGATCAGGGGTATTTATGAAGTATCTGTGCTGCTACCCTGTTTCGTTACATTTCTTTTTGTGTAACTTGTACAAATTGAACTGAGTTCTTAGTTTGAACTCAGTGCTGTAAACAGTTCTGTAAAGTGTTAGTTCACTGAAGACTTTCTTGTTTTTCTTTCTTTCTCTAGCTTTCTTTACACTTGAGAGAAAAGTGCTGTTGTTGAAGTGCAGGGAGTTTGAATTCACTCTTGTCTGGACCATGTTGCTCAATTTAAACAGACTGTAATTAATTTCTTTTATTATAAAGTGTTAGATAATGTTTCATTTCACATGCACTGTGATAGAAGAGTTATATTTGTTGCTGGGTATCTTTTGTTTAAGTGCCTTTTCATTATTCAAAATTTTGAATCAAAAAATATTTTTTCAGAAATTTGGTACCTGATTCTATCTTGTTAAACCTTTGTGCTGAAAGAAAAACCTGTAGATATTTCATTGAATTACTTTTATACTTGAAATAAACTTTGGAGGACTATGCCTTGTCTTTTTTTGTTTAGTTTAAAAGTATCGAGCTGTGTTGATTGCAGTTAAGTAGGCATTGAAAGTATCCCTTTAGATCAAAAGTAGCTTTAAAATAAATGCTGGATCTTCCTTGTTAAAGGGAAGTAGTTTCAAGTGAGAACTGGACTTAAACCCAAGCTTTTTCTAATGAAATCTTAACAGCATGTTAAGGAAACATCAGAAATGTGTTCTGTCTTCTTCAGCATGTTTTTTTGCATTCCTGCTCTGACTTGGAATTGGGAATTGGCCTGCAAGCTTTCAGTACCAGTTCATTGGTGACTAGGTACGTGTGCAGGCATCTCTAATTATCCAGTGGAGCATAACATCCCAGTATCCTAACTCTCTGTATGCTCAATTAAAAATAGGCTTTTTGGGGAGACAGAAGTCCTCACCTTCCATTCGAATGTATGTTTATTCTGTCAAACTGGGAAACTATTTGGGAAGATTTTAATTCCCTGTCTGGCACAGTGTCCTAGTAACTTAGACTTATGTTTGTTTGTTTGTCTGGCTGGATGCCAAACTATTAGTGTGTGGGGATTGTTGCCTCTGAAGGATTTTGTAATAATGTTGGCAACTCTGAGAAGGTTTTATTTTGCATTTTCATGGGAGTTTAGTTACCTTTATTATACTGCCTGCACTAGAGAAGATTCATTGCAGCCTTAAGTGTACCCAGTACAAACGACACACGGTTCCTGTCAAGAATTTAGTCTGGATTTTGTTCTGCACAATGATATATGAAGCTGACTTAAATGCTTGAGTGAATTCTTTTCAATAGGAAGTTATTGAATCCAGTGACCCATGATGTTTGTATTCCAAATATTTGGAGAAGTTTGCTTGCTGACCTTGTGCATCCAGTAAGTGAGAATGTCAGTCTTGAGTCCCAGTGGGTACAGCTACATCTCCTTCCTCTCATGACAAGGAGTGAATCTTAGCTCTGTGACTCATGTTTACATGGTGGCTTGTGCCAACTGTTTTGGTATGGCTAGGATCTTTGGGATAGAGTGGCCATGTACTTTTTGCCTGGTTCTTATGTTGGTTGGTTACTGTACAGCTCAGTAGCTGTCTTGAAAGCCTTTACTTTGCACTTAGGTCTGGCCTGCAGCCTGTGCTACACTTACTGCATAATTGCTGCATGCATCTGGCACTGAAGGCTCTGCCAGATGCTCTTAATCAGTTGCCATTTCTCTTGTTCCTTATAGTGCTGAAGCCACGATGCTACAGCAAGTGCTTGGCCTTGGATAGGCAAGATGCTGTGTGAAAACGGGCTGTGTTGCTTGAAGTGACAGATGTGAGCAGGAGGGCATTCCCTAGCATTGAAGGTGCCCATCACAGGTGTGACTTGTGCCCATTGTCGGGTTGTTGCCTGTACTTGAAAACACTTGCAGTGTGAAAGTCTCTGGTGGGGTTACTTTGTACAAACCATGGATCCTGTCATGGCTCTGAGAGCACTAATAGGTCTTAATGATCCTCTGTGTCCTCCACCCACACCTCCTGCTCGTGGGCCTGGGTTTGGGGCCTTGGCTGGTTGTGGTGTCTCCCTCGGGTTCTGGCCCCTGCCTTTAGGAGCTGCTGGTTCCTGCTGAGCCCTGGCAGATCCAGAACTGTAGGATGTGGTGTGGAACATCCTCTCTTGTTGGTGTCTGTCTTCTCCTTCCCGTTTCCTTCTAGGAAACTTTCCCTGTCAGTAGGAAGAGCTACCACTTCTATCATTCTTGTCTTTGTGCCCCGAGAGAGTCATGGATGAGCGTGAAAAAAATTTACATGTAATTTGCCACCCATTTTCAAAGACTAAAAGATGATCCACACTGCTACAGGAGACTGGTCAGCCAGCCTGACCTCTTTCTTTGGGACGATTATAGAACAATCCTTGAAGACATGACTACCAAAGTGCAGTAAAGAAAAAATTGAAGTGGTCAGATTGGATTTACAAAGGGTAAATCATACCTGCCCAACCTGATGGCCTTATGATGAGATGGCAGATTCTGTGGACAAATTGTACAAAATGTTGTTTAACAAGACTTTTTACATGGTTTCTCATAGTATTCTTGTAGCCAAATTGAGGAGAGTTAGGATAAGTGACCCGTGCAGTATGTGGAAAATTAGCTCACCAGCTGGGCTTGGAGGGATACTGTCTGTGGTCAGTGGTAAAAAGTCCAGCTAGCAACTGATCATTACTGCATTCTTAAGCAATTGATACTGGAGCTGTCATTACCATCTTCATTAATTAATTGGAGAATGGGATGCAATCAACTTTTGCAGGTTTGCATGGAGGAATGAAGGTCCTCAGGAAACTCAAGACTAACTTAGCGTGGGAGTTGAGAAAAGGCACGCAGTGTCTACCAAGAACATTTGCCTCCTCTTGCTCACTTCCAACAGGTAAAACTAGGGAGACTCAGAAGAGCTGGTTTCTAATAGTGTGATAAGCCATGGCCCTGAAGGATGTCCTGTCCAGGAGATGCCTACCTTTGGCTTGAGGCAGCAACGCCTGTGTAAAAAGGACTCACATCTGCTCCAGAGCCTGATAAGGACCCCCTGCCCTAACATCTAGTGATGTGATGTTCAAGAAGGTCTGTAGGGGTTGAAGTCTGTGTAACAGTGGCCATTTACTTCACATAATTGTCTTGACATGTTGTAAATCACACCTGCTGTCCTGCCATGTGTCCAGTCATACAGTGACCTGTCAACCGTGAATAGAGCAGTGCCTGAAGGAAAGAAAAAACATAACAACCATGCAGGGAAACGTGTATTACAAACTGCTGGGCTTGGAAACATGTTACTACCACATTTGGTATCACCAGTGCTTTCCTTCCCAGGTGTTGTAAGTAATCCTTTTTCCTACTGATGAATGAATGAGTCATTAACAGGAGTGCTAGAAAGGTGTGTGCTCTGTTTTCCAATCAAGAGTGATTTTCTTGATAACCTTGATGACCTAGGTTGTTATCTACATTCAGCCTTTATTTTACATATCTGATCCTATAAGCTAAGCCTTTAAACTTGGCTGTAGTGGCTACACTTACCTCTCCCTGTCGCAGTCCTTGTCTTTCTGCCTTCCTAGACCATGCCTTTGTGAACTCACTTCTTCACCTCCTGAGGCTTCTTGTTTAATTTACAAGGTTGCAATTATCACCTTCTTTTTTAAAATCTTTTTTTGATCTTCCTGGTCTCTGACTTGTCTTCTACTGCCTGCAAGCCTCCAGCCTGTTTTCATCCTGGCAAAGCTCAGTCTTTTCCTGACCTCTTAGCTCCAGTGCTGCCAGCTCAACCATGCAAAGCCTACCTCCGTCTGCACTTAAGCCAGACAGCTTTTTATTTTTATTTTGTTTGCTGTCTGTTCATCAGTATTAAGACTCCAAGGGGAAAGTGGTTCCCTGCTTCCTTCTCTTATGCTCATTACTGTAACATCTTGACAAGAAAAGCAAGGGAGAATGTTTACTTCCTCCCTGCATGCATGGGGTTTGCCCGTGGCAGTGGGAGCTTCTGGAGCACTTAGTTCTGAGATTCAGCAAGTCCCTTTGGGCACATGCAAGCATTATCAACATGGAATAATTAGTCCAGTGGCAGTTATCCTCAAGATATGTCAAGAGCTGTTATGTAGTTGGAATCTGTCAAGCTCCATAACAAATGCCCTTTAAACATAATTTGGGTTCAATGGTTTCAGTAGCACCATATTCAGCTGGTTGCTGTTATTTTAAACTGCTCTATGCAGTTCCAGTCTCCAGTGTATTACCATTGTA